TCTCTACTACTAACCTATAAAAAAATATATGTTTATTCAGACAAAGTACGTTTTTGTGTCTGATTTCGTAATTTAATTAATAGTTAGCACTTATTAATTAGCATATTTGAGGTCAACCCCAGGAACACTTAGATTGACACTTAGTTCGTGAAAATCTGATCATTAGAACGAAAGTTATTCAGGGTGATTCGTTTTTCTTTGAGGACTGTACATTATCGTCTCCCTCTATTTCTTTTTTCGTTTTTAGTGGGTAACAAAAACTTTTCCTCACACCATTATAATGATATATATATATCGTATGAATTAACTAAAGAGCGAATTTTCATTATTTTTTTCCCATAATTTTTTGTAAAGATATTCGAGAAATTTGTAAGAAGATCCGTTTTTTAAAAACTGAGAAGTGTCGCATCTATATTAAACTTGGCGAATGACACAATAGCGAAAACAAAACAAAAACATCAGTGAACAGCTGTTTGGCGATTGCCAGGAGCGCTCCTTCAACGCCAGTAGCCTGTTTTCGCCAACAGCTTCAACAACATAAAAAAAGTGTATTGCATTTTTCTCTCTAGCATTTGCTTTGCATTTCTTTATGAAGCATCATAAGCGTGTTTTTCAAAAATCTTTTCGAATAAATCCAAAATTCCAATTTTTAAAAATAATTGCTTTTTAAGAAATGGCAAATAAAAAGTAAAATTGGTTCTTCGTAAAAAAAAAAAAAGTATGTAATTAACTAAGAATTACAGCTTTCTTATCTTTTAGGAACACTTACCTCTTTCTTATTTCACGGAACATTTTATTTTTATTTTTGAATAATATCGAGAGTAATGCATTAATTTTATATTCTCCGTTTAATAAAATCAATTTGTAGTCATCTTAATAAGTATAAAAATAATTAATTCAAACATCTTGATATTTATTTAAATGGCAATTTAAGTTCTAATTCAAGTTAAGTTCTTCTCAAAATTCTGTGAGATTGATATTTATTTCACTACTACTAAAAACTATCCGCGATGAAGAGCAAAAAAAGTATATTGTTACGAACGATTTCTAAGTTTTGTCCATACGTCAATGAAAAATTAAAAATGCGTAAAATAAATTCATTGAAAAAAAAATTTCTATAACTAGTTTTTAGCAATTAATTCAAAATGTTTTTAAAGAATTAAAGTAAGTGTCAATGCATTTTCCATAATTAACAACGCCGGGATAGTCTGGTGGGTAGGGCGCTGGGCCCATGTCCTAGAGTTTCTGGGTTCGAACCCCGCCTGCCAAAGACTCCCCGAGCAGTAAAGTGACTGACGTTAAATCTGTCGGGTTGCAAAAGTCCTCCATGTTCCCATAACAAATCAATACCTCTGAGGATACTGGATATCGATCGTTGTCTGATTCAGGTCAAAATTACGATCTGTGAATGAATGAATGGATGTATGAATGCGTTCGCCCTATAAACGTGTGCCACGTATGGTGTGGCAGAAGTCGAATTCTTGGCCATAGATGGCGCCACTGAAAAACACGAAACGCACACTCTGCCTAAAATTTGCTCGGTTTCACCAAGCAGGCTTGCCCGTGTGGCAAGTCGCATTAGAAACAACAACAACATAATTAACAAAACGCACTCAAATAGTTTGGATTAGGAGATAAATCCCGCTTTATAATTTAAAAAATTTATAGCAAACGAAAGGGAATTTATAAAGTTAGAAACACTGTTTCTAACTAAATACCTATCAATATATATTTTTAAAAAGTTTTAATTTTAAAAATGTATGTTATTTTTCATAAAAAATTACAAATTTAGTTTTTTTTTATAAAAAAATTACAACTACGACTTATATAAATAAGAAAATTTGAAATACATTTTTGTAGTAGAGATGTTTTTTAATATGTATATATCAAAAAATATCTTTCAAATATTTTACATAAAAATAAGTTACTATGTCCTGAATGATGCAAACATTCAAATCGTGTGAAATTTCACTGTATTCTTCCTTTGAGAATGGAAATATGAATGAATCAGATTGAGTCTCTGAGTCCGCAACAGCAACTTTTTTGTTTATAGTTATGCTTCAAAAAGGTAGTTTGTATAAAATTAAATAATTTAAAATTAACGGTATTTGGAATTACAAAATATTAAGTCATGTACTAAAAAGCAAAATTAATGGAGAAATTGTACTAATTCATTCAAAAGAATCGTAAATCGCCAAACTATTATTGACGCAAGTGATGCTTAATTAAATTTGGTAAGAGTTGAAAACTGAAATAAAAAAAATAAATTAACGCTGAATTATAAAGCAAAATTAATGGATAGATGGAACTATGTTGTTTTGTTTAGGAAAAACAAAAAAACATCTTGCTATTAATGATGCCAATGATGATGTTTATATGCACTTCTGTTATCATGGCAACTTATCCAGTTTTAAAAGGTATAAAATATACTAATATAGGTACAAAGTATTATGTCACTGAATTAGATACTTATTAAAATTGCACCAATACTGTGCTGTTTTAATATAGGTACTGTGGGAAGAGGTTTTTTAGGGCTCCTTCAAAATGAAAAACTGGAGAAAATTGTTTAACTGTGCTAAATTTTGCCTATTGTGAGTTACCCTCAAGAAAGAACATTCTGTCAAATGATGCTAAATACAGTTAATCGTTATTTTGATGGGATGAACTACTAAAATCTCATTTTGCATAACCTAATAACGTAAAGTCAAGGGGAAGGATAAAATTTAATGAATATTGGATTTATTTTCGCTTTATTGATTGTGTTGGTAAATGTCTTAATTATTGATTGTGTTGATATGTCTAAAATTAATAAGTTTTGTACATGATTTCTTAGTGTTGTTTTGTATTTATTTATTTATTTTTATTATCTTTCTTAACACTCCGTACGAAAAACTGGTATTCAACCAGCCAATCATTAATAAATGTGGCTTTTTTTTTAAAAAAAATCCAACTAAACTTATACTAGGATTAATTCTTAAATATGCTAACAAAGCAAGACATTTATGTAATTAACAATAAATATCGAACAGTATTTAGTTTTTGTTATGTTCATAATTGAAAACATGTTCACAAATCTAATTATCTGAAAGCCAAAATCATATAAATTTGGAACTTAACAAATTGCTTGTTAAAACAAATTCAATATAATTTGAGTTTTTACGAATTTTGACAGTTTCGCTTCTGAAGGTGACTTAATTTATAAATTTCTTTAAATTGTCAAAAGTCTTCATGTGTCATTACCAGAAGCCCTTCGTGCCACTGTCGTGGCATGTGTGCAGCGTCTTGACCAATCATTATCTTTCCAGATTAGAAATAGTGGTCGAAAGTGTAAAGTGTTGGTTTTTAAGAGTCTAAAGGGTCCAAGGCAAAAGTCTAAATTTTTTTTAAAAATTATTGGCTGCTTATTTTACGCATCCCCTTCTGATATTTTCAAGCAATTTATCAACAAACTATATTGCTATGCAATAGAAAATTCAATATAGTTTTCGAAATGGTTAAATATTATTTTTCTTTCAGAATCTTTCATTTTTGCTTAAATACGTGAAAAATTTGACAAATGGCTGAAACATTCCCAAAAATTTACTATCACACTGTTCAACTAAACTATTACTAAATTATATTAAGTAATTCAAGATATTAACATCTGGTAATTATAATCTAGTATCACACTGTTCAATTAGCCTATTATTCACATAAAATTGTTACAGAGTGCTGGAATTAAACATATTGCAAAATTTTTAACTGCCAATACCATCAAATATTTCTCCTGAAAAATACTCCCCCCCCCCGTAACAGGAAATTATCAATATTTTTGATTGATCAGTAATGTATCGTTCGAATTTAACCATCAAAGTGAAACGACGCTCATTAATCGATAACAAGCGTTGGAAATGTTACATTTGAATCGGGAAACGAATCATGAAAGGAAATTATCAGCATTTTTGATTGATCAGGAATGTGCCGATCGAATTTAACCATCAATGTGAAACGACGCTCATCAATCGATAACAAGTGTTCGAATGTTACATTTGAATCGGGAAACGAATCATGAAAGGAAATTATCAGCATTTTTGATTGATCAGGAATGTATCGTTCGAATTTAACCATCAAAGTGAAACGACGCTCATTAATCGATAACAAGCGTTGGAAATGTTACATTTGAATCAAGAAACTGCTGTTTTTCTTGGAGCATTTAAACGTGAACTAGTAGTTCGATCCAATTTTGTGCCACATGCATAAGCACCTCAGTATGTAAAATTTCATTCACTACAATTAATAGTTTTTAAAGTTTCCCATTTTTTAATGTGCAAACTGTACATTTCTTCTAATTCATGTATTATTATTGAGAACTGATGCGAATCTGACAAAGAAAAAAGAAACATCATTAGAACATAGAGAAATAGAAAAATAAAAAATTTTGACATAGGTAGGATTAAACATAAGAGTTCAAAAGCACAAATTCAGAATCAAGGAGGGTTTTTTTTCGTGTGGATCAAATAGTATATTTCCACTACTCCTACAGAAAATTTATTCCGCAATAATATGTTATTTGAGTAATATGTTGTTTCTAAAATTTTATTGTAACAATGAAGGGAAAAGAAATTATTATATCTCTGTCAAAAAAAGTTCTTACAAAGTAATGATAAGCTAATATTTAATTAAGATAACTCAAAACTATTTCTATAAATCAAATCTCCACGTATGTAATTAAAATTACAGCATTTATTGGGATGAAATTTAATATAATACATTTCTTTTTAATGATATAAGAAATTCACAACAGACAATATTTCAAATTCATTTTTAAAATCTGAACAACAATAAAAATTTTTAAAAATGGATAATAAGGGTGAAAATAAGCTCTCTCGAGTTGGATGAAATAAGTATATTTTTTTCCTGGGTGAAAGTATTATAAAGAAAGCTGAAGGAACAGTTCACAATGAAAGACGGAGGATAAGAAGTTTCACGAAGTGTCCAGGCGTATGGTTCGAAGCTTCAGACGATCGGCCAGCACGCATGCAGCTTCATTGGAGCCGCCACAGTACTTAGATGAAGAGAAAACAGTCAACAACTTTCCATTCAACTGGACCTAATGATGCAAATTAAAGAAATAGGGTAAGTAAATTTTATTCATTATTTGTTGCACGCTTATTTTTAAGTAGGTTTTTTCAACAATATTTTCCTTTTGTAATTAAGTTCATGTAATTTATTTTTGTTTCTGTATTTTGTATTTCTTTTCTCTTTTCCTTGATATTTCACAAAACCTTTGGGGTGCAGAGGGTGATTGTAACTCAAAACCCTGAAAATTTTAAGTGCAAAAAAATCGATATCAAGATATTAATTTATACACTATATAGGGGAGAGTCGGGTACCCCCGCCTACAGTCAATTTCATATGTAAAGAATATTTTTTCAAGTCAATGGGCCATAGGACATTAAGGTGACAAGGGACTTTCAAAGAAGCAAAAATTCGTCAAAAAATCGATATTTTACATTTTATATTTTTAAAATTTTGGCATTTAACTGAACATTTTAAAAAAAGAAATTCTGGAATAAGAGCAAAATTGATGAAGCTATGGCCATTTCAGTTTTGACCACGCCCCTTTTTTTACCTTTTTTTTGTCTGCAGGTAACTGTTAAAATTAGTTTAGTTTAAAATTAGTTGAATATTTTGCTAATTTTTTTTTAAAAAAATTTAAAGTACATAATTATTAAACTAGTTCATTAGACAATATTTATAGGTATTTATATTAAAAACAAGAAATATTTGTTCAGAAGTAAAATTTGCAATGAAAAAGTACTAAAAGTCATTTTTCACAAAATGTCTATTTTGAGAAAATTACAATTTTCAAACTGTTCCAGCGTAATGAATTTTCATTCTATTGACCTGAGAATTTAATGCTATATATTTATGAATATTATTAACATTTTGTTGGAAAAGTTTTTTAAATTAAGTAAATAGTATTTTTTTTTATACATGATATTTTATAGAGGTATCACGATTTTTTCCTAAAAATGTAGGTTTTTTACCTTTTTTTTAGTGTTATTTGTTTCTATAATAAAAAATAAAAAAAGTACTTCCAACAATTTTTTCAATATTACCTAATATGTAATATTTTAAAAGAATTTTGTCATTTTGACAAAATTTCAGACGCGAGGAGTAATATAAAAAAAAACCATAAAAAATTGAAAATTTTAAATTTTTTAAATTTTGAAACATTTTTTTGAAATTTTGTATAAAAGTTGTTTTTAACAAGATAAATGTATCCTGAAAATTTCAAGCAAATCCTTTGATAATTTCAAAAAAAAAATTTGAAAGCCCTTTGTCGCCTTAATTGTCATATTAAAAAAAAGATTATTTTCAAAGTTTCAAGTATTTATGCAGGTGGTAACGTGGTAAACAATAGTTTTGAAAATATATTGAATACAGTAGTCATGAAATTAAGAAAAGTTGGTTGAATGTTTCCATTAAACATCATTTTAATACTAAAAAAATAATTTTTTCTATACATACAGCATTAAAGTATGCAGTCTAAAGTTTTATTTGTACGAAGAAAAAAGTTTATATGTGAAAAATTGTTCGAGTAATTAGAAATTTACAAAAAAATTGGATTTCGGGTAGCCCCGCTCACATGAATGTCGGATATTTCGCCCAATTTCATTTCGTCGATAAATGTACGGTTGCAAAGATTATTATTTTATTGCTTCAAATTTGAATGTTATATGCATTTTTAAAAACAAATATTGTTGTTATTAAATTATAGAATTCTTTGAAAGTGTATAAATATGTAATAAATAAAATAATTTTGTGATAAAAATGATAAATGAGGTTTATCTGTTGTCAATACATTGGTCACTTTCATTTACACCTGAAAAAACAGTCAAAAAACATAATTTTTATAACTGGGCGGGGCCACCTGACACAGTTTCAAAAGATCTGAAAAACATGTTGTTGTTTTTAAATTTCTATTTTTTTAAGTTAAACTATTCTTTTTTTGGTTTATTCTTTTTGCATTATTTAATTAGACGGTAAAACTATAGAAACATACAAAAATATTGATTATTACTCAATATTATACAGAAATATAAGCAATATTCCTTAAGTGGGCGGGGATATACGACTCTCCCCTATGTTTCAAATTCAACGTAATTTTTTTAAACTATCATTTAAAATTAAATTGCCTACTAATGAAGAACGTGGATATCCTTTCAGCAACTAAAACANCTCTGGTGGGAAAGACTTTAAAACAAAACTTACAACAGTTACTTTTCTCAACAACTGAAATTTAGAATAGTGTGATTAAGAAAAATGTGTGAACTGTTTGCAATTTCAAATTAATATTGATTACACAGGTTTAGAATTTTCTACAGTTAAAATTTTCGGAACTTCAGTGTTCAAAAAAGTATACGAAAGCTAGACGTTAAGAACGTATCCAATGAGCGAGCAAAGCGAGCATCGGATTGCGAAGCAATCAGAAATGAACTGCAAAAGCAGTTCCGGGGGTTGGCGAGCGTCAGGGAGCAGGGGGCGAAGCCTCCTAGTCACATAAAAATATCTAATTAATGGGATTTAGAAAAGTTTCAAAATTTCGTCAGATTATAAGTTTTTGATTCGCAAAAGTCCAAGAATAATTATTAGACCCGGAAGAAACCCCCGAAATTCCGGGGTACATCCGGAATACAATCAATCACCCCTGGAGAGATCAATTTTTAGACATTTGTCATGCTCTCTCAATAGAAAAGGTTCTTGTTTTTATGACTTCCGGAGCTGGTACCCCCTGACGACGTCAGCTCCGGTTGTTATTTCTATATTTTCATTGTTTTCTTCTTTAAAATTTTATATTGGTTTAAATTTCAATTAATTGGTTTAAAGTATAGTCGCAAATATCTCAAAGAAATTCTGCCGCAGGGGCTGGACATTTACTCATAAATGCACATTTTGAGTTATGCCCATTTTCTTAAATAAGCCTTTTCTATGCTGTAAATATTCTTAAATACACATTTTGAGCAATGTTCATTTTTTAAAATAAGCATTTTAAACTCTGTCCAAAATAAAAAAAAAACTCACTAACTGTTATTAATGAAACAATATATGTGATCTCATACCTTGAATCCAGCTTGTTGAACTTCATGGGCACGAATTACATGTGATAGGCCATTTGAGGCTAGGAAATTTTCTAATGCTTGACTTGAAAAAACATGGGCAGTCCCTCTTTTAGAGTTTGCCAAAAAACCATTATTTTCTCTTAATGCTCCCTCAAGATTACAATTCATGCCCTCAGAACTTTAAAAAAAAAATATTAAGTTTTAATTTTTGCGACATGCAAGTAAATACACAACGACGACAAGTAAGTTCACGAAGACAAGTAAATACATTAAAACACAATATAATTACAAAACTATTAAATATACATATTTTAATGACTGTTTTGAAACAAAGCTCCAAAATACTGATGCTATACTACATCATTTGTCAATTTTTTTTAATAGATAAAAACCTTTTTATTGCTGTTAAAAAAAATTTCTCAAAAAGCTTTGAATAACAAGCATACACCATTGTGATGCCACAATAGGCATAATATATTTTCTAGCTTTTAAAGTTTCTTTAATTTCTTAAACTTATTTTTTTTAATCATTCTTAACCAAATTTTAATTAAATTAAACCAATTATTTTATTTTTGTTTACAATTAATAAAAAGCGAATATAAAATATTTTATTCCTTTCTTAACAATCACTGTAATGGCTAACTTTTTATTTCAATTGTACTAATGTAGTTCTTTAATTCACTGTCGCGACCAAATCGAAAATAAAAATCTATTTATAACTTTTTAACTCTTTATTCCTTACCGCAAAAATGTTTCAGTTACATGGTTATAATAATTCTCACAGTCTTTTCGGCAATTCGCTTTCGCTAAATTATTTTCAAATTTATATTGATTATAAATTTATATTTTTGGCTTTATTTTCTTGGCTATGTTATTTTTAGATAAATCACCAATCTTGGATCTCTTCCCATGCTCCTAACTCTCTATTGGGAACAATTCAATCACTTATTAATTTGGCTTCTGATTAGGCAGGCCCTGGGGGATTTATCTCATATGGCCTGTCCTTATTAACATTATTATTCAAAATTTTATATTCAACTTAGAAAGTCTCATTATGGATAAAATATTATTTTGTATCTTGAGTTCTACAAATACTAAATAAAAGTTTAATTATAATTATGATACAGTTTTCATTATCCTGTTTTTCATCACAATATTCAAGTAGTCAATTATACCATATAACTCCAACAACACCTAATTTCATCATTATAACCATGCCGAAAAAACTGCGCGCCTAAGAGAAGGGTACTCTAATTAAGAATCTAAACTACATTGTTTAAATAAAATGCTATAACGGGCAATAATAATTAAAAAAAATTAATATTATTATTAAATTACAGTAGAGCTCTATAAAGCAATTCTATAACCTATGATTCTCCATAAACCACATTAACTGTGAGGATGTAATGTAACAAAACAATAATTTCAAATTATTTGTTAAATGTTTGTTAAGAGGTTACAATGTCAAAAGCCAAACGATCCAAAATTGATGAAATTTGTTTATTATTAGTTCTAATGCCCAAGAAACTGCAAATAATAAATACTTAACCTTTTGTTTACTGCAGTCCACTCCGCAGAAGTGACGAGGTACTGTGCACATTGCATGCCTGTCAGCTGATGCTCAGATTTTCTTATTTAAGTACATTGCAAAATCTCCAAATATATTGTTATGTAAGTAGTGAAATACAATTTAGAATAATTTAAAAAAGTTCTTAGTAACTTAATTCGGCTGAAGTGATGGCGCGCTGTGCACATTGCATGTCTCTAAGTTGATGTTCAGATTTTTTTCATTCAAGTGTTGCAAAATCTCCAGCATTAAAATACAATTACAAACGTAAGCATTAAAATACAATTTAGAATAATAAAAAAAAAAATTCTTAGTAATTTAATTCAGTATGATAAATTTTAAAACAAGCCTGGCAAATTTCTGTGTAACTTTCGTTCTGTGTGTAGGAGGAACATTTAAATGAGGTGTTGGTATACAGAGGGCGTTGGATGGATACAGACTAAATATGGCTTTCGTAAAGAAAGGGTAAAGTACATGTTTTTGTGTTTTTAAATATTTATACCTAAAAAAGACTTTAAAGTATTTAATGATTGATCTGCCCAAGATTAATATTACAGCTGGCAAGTTTAATAACTGTGAAATGATATAGATGACAAAAAAGTCTATAAAAGCGAAACTTTGTGTTGAAAGATTTGTGTTATGAAGATCTTCTGTGTATTACTTTCACATAAAAATAAAAACATTGCACCATTAGATCCTAAAACTGGAATGTTATCTTTTAACACATGAATGAACCATATCTTTTCAGAAGATGTTTTCTTCTAATTATGTACTGACAGTCATAACTATTTTTACTTTTTGTTATGTTGTTTTGTTTATTATTATTATTAATAATATTTGCAACAGGGTTTTACCATTTTTTCCTATTACTAACCCATGTAAAGATGCTGCACTCATTTGATGAGTTTTAATTTCCAGCTTGGATTTTTTTCTTTTACTCTCTCTCAACCTTTTTGTCAGAGGGCCAAAACAGTAAAATCGGGAAATCATGAGGACCATATATGTATCCTCATGATTAGGCAGGATTAACATAGGAATAAAACTTTCAGTGGTAGAGAAAGATTATAGTTGATTTTTGTGTAAATTGTTGGGTTTTTCTTTCGTGTTGCTAAAAAATTTTAATTAAATGTCGTTCGTGGACTGAATGAAGTTAACCACTTTAATAACTACATCCATAACAGGTTCAAAGTTTGAAAAAAACATTGTACGTAAATTTTCTTCTTGAATAATGCAAAGAAATGCCCAGATCAATAAAGCTCAACAGTATAAGATTCGGATTTCTTACCACCAAAATATGGGGATAGCTGCAATCTGGGAAACATGGTCCCAATAGTTTGGTCAGCAGAGCACTACAAAGTTTGAACCCTTCAATGTTAATTTTACTTTCAAAAATTTATTACTTTTAAAAATTATTAAAAGTTATTTTTTGCATAGAATTATCTTTGAATAAAGGAATTTTAATATTGTTTGCAAATTTTTTTCAATTTGCTTAAAAAGTTCTTATGATATAACAAAATATGCAAAAAACAAAATTAAGGTTAAGGGGTCCAAACATTGGCGCACTCTTCTGACCACACTATGGGGACCATATTACTCAGATTGCAGAAATCCGAATTTGTTGATAAAAATAGTATGCTTACATAGAGAGAGAACGTTTTTGCATCTCGCAATTTCGCAAATTAAAATATCGTCTGCAGTAATTAATTAGCATATTTGAAGTCCAACCATTGAGTCCTAAAATGTGAAGATCTGATCATTAAATCAAAAGTTAATCAGGGTGGCCCGTTTTATTTCTTTTTTTTGGCACACTGTACCTGACCACAAAGTTCGGCATATCAGATTGTGATATCAATAATGGACTTGTTCTGTGAAACATAGTTAATTTTTTTTTTAAATTTTCTGTCCTAAATTATTAAATCCACCTATAAATTATCCACCTACAAAGACATGGAATATGCAAAAAACTGAAAGCATTTTTGAAGCTATAGATGTTAGCTATAAGTTTTGCATGTCAAAGTTAACTCACTAAAAACTCTTCCAATTTCACTCTAAGGAGTTAAAATGAAAAATCATGCTGTTTTTAAGCATTTAAACATATATTTTTTGTGATTTGGGCCCATTTGGGTTTAATGAATAAATTGTTTCGATGTTTTTTAGTTACAATCAAATGTTACTGTGCACGATAAAATTTTCTTTTTGGATAGAGTGACTAACTTTTAACATCTTTAGAAATATAACAAAAATTAAAACTTTAAAAAAAAGATGAAAGATGTGCATCAAAAGAAGAATCTAATAAAAATTCAAAGCAATTCCTCTCCTACCTGATGGGGTCATTCCACATCAACTCCCACGCCAATGAACTACTTTTTTCAGGGTCAGGTAGTGGTTTAGGTATCTCGTTTATGCTGCTCAATGAACCAGAACCTAACCAAGGGGGTGGAATACCACCATGGACACAAAATACCTAAAAGGACACATCATTATATCGATACACATAACAAAATATTTGACGCATTAATTAATATTATACTAACTGATTAATAGATTTGAGGTTACATACTAACAAATAGAATTTCTATTTATTCATTTCTTTTCAATGCAGCTGTATTCATGAGTTAAAAAAAAATTTTATTACGTAAATCTCAGTGTGTGAATGACATTTTCTCTTAACATTGAAGCTCAGGATAACTATATGTGATGAAGCTGTGCCAGGAGTCTAGATGCTCTTGCTCTAACCATAGGTTCTCAAACTATGCTCTAGAAAAAATTTCCTCCCAGTGCTCCGCAAAAAGACAGGACATGTTTAAATATGTTTAATGCATAGTTGAGCCAAAAATAGATTAAAGAACAGGATGTGAATTTAAAAGTGTGAGAAAGCGTTTCGTTTTGAATAATAAATTAAGAAAAGGATTTACAGAAAAGAAATAACATAAAAAGATTAATTGAAGCTTTTTATGTTACATATGTATATGTCAAAAGGCGTAAACCAAACATGACGTAAAAAAAAAAAAAACGTTCCAAACATAATATAAAACTACGCCACTGTCATGAGCTGGTTTCGAACAACAGCACTATGTCAAAAGTAGTTAATCTTTATTTCGATGGGATTAATTTCGAAAAACGTTTTTTTCTTAGTCTAATAACATAAAATCAACAAATAACAATTAAAAATTAATAACAAATTATTTCAGCTTTATTAATTAAGTCGATTCATTTCTTTCGGTTTTGGGCATAATTTTCACTTGTCGGACAATACTCATTTTGTAGTCATCATTTCTTCCCCCACCAAAGAAAGTTCTTACAAATTAATTTAGAATAATTTTTTTTTCTTAAATATACTTGAATTATAACAATACGTAAAATTAATGATTGATACAGTGAAGCATTGTTGCAACAATGGTTAAAAAAAATTTTTTTTTAGCTAAAAATGAAATTGTTAACAATGACATCCGAAGGTATTAAAAAGCAACTTTTTCAATTCTTACAATCTCTTTGAATGTTAGCGCCTGTCGTTTAATGCTTTAAGATTTCATTTGAGATAAAATGAGCGAATTGTACAAAAATACTTTGATATACCACTGGAAGTTGGAGAGAATGAAGCACCCACGACCACGACCCCCAGAATGTAAGTATAAATAATATTATTACGTATATTTTTTTAAAATTCCTAATCTCTCTTAACTATGACAAGCAACTGTTTACTTTTCGGCAAACATTTTACAAATAATAAGAAATAAGTTTTCAGTTCTTTTTTCTTATCCATTATAACAGTCAGGTAATTTATTTTTATAGTGTAAACCAGGGTCTCCCAAAGTGTGGTAGGCGTACCCCCAGGGGTATAGGAACAGTTTAGCGGGCGTACGCGTTCTTATGCGAAATATCTTCCTACAAACGAAAATTTCACAACATTTTATTTAAAAACAAAGCTTGCCATGAAAATTTACAATTACGTATTTTTCTACTGGCTATTTTTTGCATTGTTAACAGTTAATAATTAGTGGTGCCAACAGCCAGTTGTGATTTTTAACTTTTGAGCAATTTTTTATAGGAAAAAATACATTCATTTTTTTATTAGTGGTACACGGCGTTACAAAAAAGTTAGAAAGGGCAGTCATAAGTTTGGGAAACACTGGTGTAAACTAACGTGACTAGGTTTTTGAAACTCTTTTTACAGAATATGTTCTTACTGACATACACTAGTTATCATAAATTAAGGGAAAATTACAAAAAATAGCGATAACTCTCCCCGAAATCTTGAACGTTTTGTCAAATAAGAATTGTCAAGTAAAACTGCAATATGTAAATTAGTGGCACTGCAATGGAAGGACTTCATCTGCAATGAGAATAAAATTGTATGCTTGATCGCAAGGCTGCAAATTTCTCTGTGTTTCCGAAATTAGATAAGTTTGAGATAGCCAATTTGAAACGATGTTACAATCAGCATCATTACCTCCAGGCATCATTTGTCCGAAGAACTGTGATGGAGATCTACAGGAAGACTAGAGGCAGGACAATGTCAGATAGAAGTGGCCAGATGATTAAATGTGAGTCTGTGGTCCATGGACTTTGGCAACAATTTCTAACTAAAGGTTCGGCATCCAGAAGGCTCAGCCAAGGACTGCCAAATGCTGCGAAGAACACCGATGATTGACATTTGCTGTTATGTATACGAAGGAATAGAACCGCAATTCCGAGTCAACTCAGATCTTCTCAACGTCTACATTACGTATAAGGCTTCACGAACGATATATTTTTTTACTAGGGGACCAGTCATTTGCGTGCCATTCTCGTCACGCCATAGAAGGGAATACTTGAGGTAGGTGCAGCAACATATCCATTGGATGGCTGTTCTTTTCACAGACGAGTCCAGGTTTAGCTTCCACGACGATAGCAGGCGTTCTGTGATTTAGAGAGAACCTGGAACCAGATATCATCCATCAAACATCCGTAAAAAAGATGTATACCAATGAGGTAGTGTCTGTGTGTGGGGTTTCATGACTTTGGGTGGACGTACAGACCTGCATGTCATCTCTATGATCACGAGAATAAAGATGACATCCTTGATGTTTGTGTGCTCTCTTATGTTCTGTGATTTAGAGAGAACCTGGAACCAGATATCATCCATCAAACATCCATAAAAAAAGATGCATACCGATGAGGTAGTGTCTGTGTGTGGGGTTTCATGACTTTGGGTGGACGCACAGACCTGTATGTCATCTCTATGCTCACGAGAATAGAGATGACATCCTTGATGTTTGTGCGCTCTTATGCTGGTGAAATAGGTAAGGATTTCATGCTAAAGGACAGTAACGCATCGTGGATGATCATCTTCAGCAAACAATTCAGCAGGAGGAGTAGCCAGCTCGATCGCCGAACTTGAATCCCATTGGAAATGCTTGGGTTGATTTAGAAAAACGTGCATCTGTTCTCAATCATCCTCGTCAGACCCTTACAACTACTTTGCAAGAACAATGGCTTCTTGCACTTGTAACGGATCTGGTAGAACGCATAATTGAAAGCATCACACATCGCAGTATAGTTGCTAGAAGTGATCACAGTCTATACTCAAGATACTTTCTCTATTCCAAACGACACATTTTCATGAAATTCTATGCGTAACTTTTTGAATTATGGTCGTTTTTGTGATTTTTCCATTATTTATGACAACTACAATAGATTACTGGTAATTCTTCCAAAAGCCAATTTATATATAAAGTTGCGGATTCAAGGATCCATTGGTTCGGCAATAATTTTCGCTCAGTTTTGTTGAAACCCCGATTGTGGAATCGTTGCTCATTGCTTCCAATGATGTCACCTTCGAGTAACTGCAACTTTTATTTGACGTTATGTGATTTTTTTATTAATTCATTTTCATATACAATGATTTATTTTTAAATCGTCAATAATTTACAATCGGAAGCCACTCTTACGAAGGGGCCCCCAATTGTCAGCTATTACCACAAATATCAAATTTCTTAAAGACTGCAACAAAATTACAGTTTAACTTTTAATTTCTTTCCCTCAATAACTTTCATTATTATTGAATAACATTATTACATAACATTTATTAAATTCTTCTAAAAAAAGATTAGTTAAAGTTAGAAAATTGAAGTATCAATTAAAACCAATAATTTAGATTTACTGAATACTTCGTATCTTCCATAATAACAAAAAAAAAAATATGTAATGTTGCTTTTTAACGTTTTTAAATTTTCCAAGTTTAAAAACTCGTTACAATTGGCGATATATACAGCAGTTTAAGCTTAACAATCCTTTAACCTTTAATTAATGTCACGATTTCCGCGTTTCAAGTTTTCCAAAAATTGTGCCAATTATAGAATAAAGAATTTCCAAACATAAAAATAAAGGGTTTCGAAATTTAATCATCAATTTGAAATTAAATAACAAAAAAATAAACAAATTTAAAAAACAAAATAGTGATATAGCACAGATTAGTCTTAATACTTTTTGATAAAATAGATGCCTACAATTTGTAACAGCTAGAATAATGTTGCTTAAATTGCATGTTACGTCTATTAAACTAAAATCTAAAATATATAAAGAATAAATAAGGAAAGAAGCCGTCTTGTAAGTAAACTATCATAAAAACAATACAATTATGTTCAATTATCTTATTTAACACGTTGAAAGCCATGGGAGTCACCGGTGACCGGCACTGAACTTGTTCGTAGAGCCACGGGAGTCACCGGTGATCGAAGAAGCCAAGATTATTAGAAACACATAATTCGAGTCAATTTTAATGCTTTTATTTTTTTCATATTATTAACGTTACTAAAATGGTTTGAAGAAATTAATGCAATACATACTGAGAAAATCATTTTGGCCAGACGGGCAAGTAATATAAAATTAGCATGGCACTCAACGTGTTAACATGTAATCCAGAATTGAGAGGTAACCTTACCAGGGCACATTTTGAATCTATTTTTTTAAAAAAGTACTTGGCATTCGAATTTTTTTATTGAGTTGCACCTTACAAAAAGTGCACAAAAATAGCTCGTAAACTTTCTATGAGTCACAGTAAAAACTTTTAATACAGTTGAACCTTAATTTATTGCTTCTCATGCGAGCTTTCTTTGCGAACAATAGATAAGGGAAAGGAATAAATGCTAAATTAAATAATAATTAATGATAAAAATTCATTTTTAACCGATTGTTACGATGAAAGTTCTGAAAAAAGGTAATTTGTATTACTCAACCATAATCTTAACTACAAAATCACAACAATTATGAATAAATCGTAATAGTTGGCACAACTGCATAAGCAATCTTAAAAAAAGAATTTCTGTTTTTCAGACAAAGGGAGTGCATGGATCGAAGAGATGAAAAAAACCAAATCACTCGAGCAAAAAAGAAAAACTCGAAAATGTGATCTGGACATGGATGAATCCATTCTTATAACTAGCCCCTTAGGCTGCACAAAAGTGCAAAACACCCAAAAAACCT